CACAGGGAATGCAGGGGACAACTCGCCATTGGGTTCGGGGGGAAGCAACGGACAAGGAGGACCTACAAATAGTAGGTTTTCTGGTAGGTGGAGAATTTTCTTTTTACAAATACTAAGATTTTCGTTGCATTTCACTGCCATCCTTCAGGATCTTCAACCAAATGAGAGAGTAAGTCGCTAATAATCAGATTTTGAATGATTTATTAAATCAATAGTTATCGAAATTATTTTGAAGTTTTCCTTTCATAATACTTTGGAAACGCCTCATACAAGCAGTTAAAATTCTGTCAGATTTGGCTTTTTTCTTTTTTGAATTTCCTGCACATTTGTCCAATTCTCTATAGCGATCTACGAATATACGGCAGGAGAAGACGTCGAAACAGATGAAAAGGCTTCTTATTCGCTAATATTGAACCTGGATTAAATAGAAACACTAAACAGAGAGTCGAACCTAACCCTAAAGCTGACTGGTCCTCACAAGCTTTTCATTAACAATATCCATGCAATAATTAAGCCTCAAAAAACCAAGAAATAAACCTCGTTGCGAAACACTGGAATCGTTGTTTGATCGCAATAACTCAAATTTATAGGTGCTATTTTTAAGAGAACCACTGATCACTTTTTGATTGTATTATAGGTGGCGGCGGCGGCGGCTTCCACACAAATGGACACGATTCAAAATGCTCAACGTATTATAGTGGGGGGAAAGGAGGTTTCGGATATCATCAAGGGGGAGAGGGTGGAAGGTATTGGGGTGGGTTTGGAGGTGGCGGTGGTTTTTGTCCAGGAGGGAAGGGACCGGGCGGAGGTGGAGGTTATTCTGGGGGAAGTGGTGGGGCTAATGAACATATTTCCTGTGGGGGAGGGGGAGGTTCTTTTAACAATGGAACAAGTCAGTGTAATGAATGTTGCTATAACAGCGCTAGTCATGGCTGGGTAAACATCACATTTTTCCAATGAAGAGCACATGACGACACTTTTTTAACGTTTAGTGGTAAACTACTTTCGCTTAAACGTGTCCTTAATGCAAATACAGTTTCCAATTTGCCAATAAATAAACAGGTAAAGAATTTGCACTTGTTCGTATTTTGCACAAAAAAAAAATTGTTAAGTTGGTTCTCCATATTCATATACATTTCAATAACTGTATTTCCTCGAATGAGCATCTGCCAGGCGCTTACTTATAATTTTGGCTAAAGGGAGGGGCGCTTATCGAAAGAGGGATGTTTATTCGAGGGGGGGCGCTCGTAAGGAATCTATTAACCTGTACTAATTCCACTGTAGCTGAAGCTTAAAAAGTTCTATATAAAGTGGCAATAAAAATTGATTTTATAGGCAAGGGAGCAGATGCCAGGTCTGTCCCAATTGTGCTCGCAAAATGCTGAAAAGTTGTTCTCTGAAATGTCAAAAAGTTGCTAAAAAATTGCTTATATTAATAAAGTTGCTACTTAAATTTCTTGAAATTTTGTTTGTAGACAGTAATTAAAAGCTTTATTTTTCGTTCTACACAATAATTTCTAACATCCGAAAAGAAATATAGCTTGAAACTTAGCTTTAAGAAGTTACTTACAAATATGGGTGTAATTTAAGAATAATCTGGAAAATAAAGAAACGAAGATGGATTTTTTTGGGCTTCATTTCAGCCAATTATCCGTTCTAATTATATCAGATAAGGAT